TTCCATTGTCTCACCTTTTAGTAGTTATTTGTTTAGCCTAATACGACATGTATCATCTGGTTAGTATTTTTCTAGTATGGATCTTGTTTTTGTAGCATGGTATCAGAGTATACTGTAAGGGTTATGGAAACAAAAGAATTAAAAACAATTTAAAACTTTAAGCATTGTTCGTGGGATAAAGGCCTTTGCTTTCAGTATTTTCTATGCTACAGCTTAAAGAAAACACAATATAATACAATAGACTTTTTTGAAAGTAATTATAATCAGGGTGAGAACACTTACCACTGTCTTAAACATTCTTTGCTCTTCTGTAGTATTGGTCATGGGAATATTCTGAATCCATTGCTCAACAAAATGTGATTTAGCTTTACCCTATCAGCATCAATGAAAACCATTGGTATAAAGGCTTCTAGCTTAAGAGGAAGTAAACTAACATCAAAGACATTAAGGATTTCTGGCAATTCAAGCTATAATGTAAATGTCTAGGCATTTCTCACTTGTGCATAGTTCTTTAAATATTTTTTCCTTATGAAGATCTTTCAGTCCATGAAAAGCATGCTCTTAGATTTGGTGCTTTTGAAACCCAGTGTTGAGGGGCCGGTGCTGTGGCCGCATCCTGCAATACAGGTAAAGCTGCTGCCTGCAATGCCCGCGTCCCATATGGGCACCGGTTCGTGTCCTGGCTGTTCCACTTTTGATCCAGCTCTCTGCTATGACCTGGCAAAGCAGTAGAAGATGACCCTAGTGCTTGGGCCCCTGCACCCATGTTGGAGACCTGGAAGAAGCTCCTGGCTCCTGGCTTTGGATCAGCACAGCTCTGGCAGTTGTGGTCATCTGAGGAGTGAGGATGAAAGACCTCTCTCTCTCTCTCTTTCTCTCTTTCTGCCTCTGCCTCTCTGTTAGTCTGCCTTTCAAATAAATAAATAGATAAATCTTTGAAAAGAAAGAAAGAGGCCAGGGCCACGGCTCACTAGGCTAATCCTCCACCTGTGGCGCCGGCACCCCAGGGTTCTAGTCCTGGTCTCCTGGTCGGGGCACCGGATTCTGTCGTGGTTGCTCCTCTTACAGCCCAGCTCTCTGCTGTGGCCCGGGAGGGCGGTGGAGGATGGCCCAAGTGCTTGGGCCCTGCACCCACATGGGAGACCAGGAGGAAGCACCTGGCTCCTGGCTTCAGATTGGCGCAGCGCGCTGGCCATAGCGGCCATTTGGGGGGTGAACCAACGGAAAAAGGTAGACCTTTCTCTCTCTCTCTCTCTCTCTCTCTCTCTCTCTGTCTAACTCTGCCTGCCTGTCAAAAAAAAAAAAAAAAAAAAAAAGAAGGAAGGAAGGAGAGAAGGAGAGAAGGAGAGGAAGGGAGGGAGGGAGGGAGGAAGGGAGGAAGGAAAGGGAGGAAGGGAGGAACTCTGTGATGAGCATGAGATCCACTGCAGATGTGATTTCAGAGTTGATCTGTATGAATGGTGGGGTAGAGAAGAAAAACATGGAAGGTAATGCACGAGAAGGTGGGAAATGCCCAGCCTGTGGATCAGAGCTACATGGGGCTGGGCTCTGCCACCCCTAGTGGTGGATTTGGGGCCTACTCATTGCTTCTCAAATATCAGTTTTCTTATGGGTAAGGGGGTTAGCAAGACCTCTGATGACCGTTCTAACTTCAGTTGCCTCTAAACATTCTTTGGTGTAAATTCACCCTCCCTTTTTTTAATCTCTCTGCTTTCCCTCAACTTTCTTTCTTGTTACTATAATTTGGGATATCGGATCTGACACACAATTAAATTGGGTTCTCTCTGTGTATTTAATTAATTCCACAGCTCCCTTTTATATCACAATTTTAATCCTAATTAAAATATAAAATTATGACTAGGAGTACAAAGGGTCATCAAAAATTTCATGGAAATGTGCATTATGAACATTATGAACTATGCAAGATTTCAAAATTTGGGGCAGCAAAAAAGAGTTTATTTTTACCTCTATTTTTCATGAGCTTTTTGAAGTTTTTGTAAATCTTGGAGTAAAAATTTTCAAGAAGACATTGAGTAGTACATTTTCTGAGACCTTACATGTTTGAGAAATTCTTTCTGTTGCTTTCATAAAAGCGAACATCAAGCTAGGTGTAAAAATTCATGCATCCGTTGAAATACACTTTTTTTCTCTCACAGCTATGAAAATTGCTCCATTTTCTTCCCACGTTAACTCCTCTTTCAATTGACACTCATAGTTTGGGAACTTTTTTTTTTTTTACTAAGAACCTTTTCATTTCATGTGGCTTAGTTCCATAAAAATGGAGGTCAGTCTATTTTGTTCATAGCAGAGTACCCTGTAATTTTCAGGACATGTGACCCCAAGTAGACAGTGAACAATCATTTTGAATGATGCGTTTTTTAATCACATGTCCTGTTTCATCATTTACAGTATGTCTTCTCTGGCTTCCTTACCCAATGTTTTGTTTTCTTCATCATCTGTTTATTATTTCACCCCATATTCTAGATAGTTTCTCAGGTTTGTCATATGTACTACATTTTCTTTATCTGATCATCAGTTGATCGGGACATCTAGGTTGACTCTATATATTTGCTATTGTGAATTGAGCATCAATAAATCTGGGAGTGCAGGTGACTCTTTCATATGCTGATTTCATCTCCTTTGGATATATTTCCAGGAGTGACATAGCTGGGTCATATTTACCATGCAATTCCTGCGTCATCATTTCTGCTCTTCATTACTTGCACAGAAGTTTACAAGCTGCTATTGAGTTTTCAGTTCTTTGGGTTCTTTGTTTTTAAATCTCAGTCTGGTGTCTTTGCATCTTATATTGTTGTGTTTTTATTTCATCCTGATTCTTTTTCATAGTCTTATTTTGTTAGACTTTATTCCTATAATTATTTTGAGAATCATGGGCAATATTTTCTAAAGTTTTTCTGAAGCAAATTCTCAAAAGTATTTATTTCTTCCACAATTTCAGTCAAATTCTTTTCTAATTTTCTTTTCTATTCATCCTTTAAACAGAAGAAAATATGCACATACATTGAGACTTTGTATCTTTCCAGTAGATATAGTATACTATACTCTAATGGAAGTTTGAAAGAAAACACAAAATTCAGCTTATGACTAGTTAGAGTAAATGTGCCAGGAAAGCCCTTTCCTCCTAGAATAACATTCATTCAGCTAGTGGATTCCAGGAATTAAGCAGAGGACCTTAAATTGGCTTAAAGTTTTTTAAGGTGTCATTGTCAGCAGTGCCATACACCTTTACATAACTGAAGATAATGGACTAAGGTGTGGCGTAGGGAGTGAGCTGCTGCTTGCAGTGCCGGCTTTCCATATGGGCGCCCATTTGAGTCCCAGCTGCTCTATTTCTGACCCTGATCTCTGCTATGGCCTGAACAAGCAGTAGAAGATGGCCCAAGTCCTTGGGTCCCTGCATGGGAGGCCCAGAAGAAGCTCCTGGCTCCTGACTTCGGATTGGCCCAGCTCCAGCCATTGCAGCATCTGGGGAGTGAACCACCAGATGGAAGACCTCTCTCTCTCTCTGCCTCTGCCTCTGCCTCTCTGTAACTCTGCCTTTCAAATAAATAAGTAAATAAATCTTTAAAAAAAAAAAAAAAACAGATAAGGCCAGCGCCGCGGCTCAATAGGCTAATCCTCTGCCTGCGGCGCCTGCAAACCGGGTTCTAGTCCCGGTCGGGGCGCCGCCAGATTCTGTCCCGGTTGCTCCTCTTCCAGTCCAGCTCTCTGCTGTGGCCCAGGACTGCAGTGGAGGATGGCCCAGGTCCTTGGGCCCTGCACCCACATGGGAGACCAGGAGAGGCACCTGGCTCGTGGCTTTGGATCAGTGCGGTGCGCCGGCCACAGCGCACTGGCTGCAGTGGTCATTGGAGGGTGAACCAACAGCAAAAGGAAGACCTTTCTCTCTGTCTCTCTCTCTCTCTCACTGTCCACTCTGCCTGTCAAAAAAAAAAAAAACAACCCACAGATAATGGGTTAAGTCATCTCCTTAGGTGAAGAAACTTGAACAAAGACAAGGTATCTAGAGGAATCAGCATCACAGGGGGAGGGGCAAGTCCTGTAGAAAGGGAAGCCTGCACACATGAAAGATGAACTTTGCTGTCTTTATTGGCCCAAGGAGGGTGCCAGCAGAGTCAGCCCATTTCTTTCAGAGGTTTAAAAGTGGTGTTCCTACCATTTCTACACTGAGCCAGTCAGTCCTGAAAGGGCCTGAAATGGGAGGAAAAGCAAGCTTTTGCTTTTTTCCTGCATTAAAAATGAACAGGGGAAATAAGTAAGAAAGAAAATTGTGGTTATTCAAGTTATTCTTGGATGGATGTCCTAAATCTAGCTTTTTCAAGGACTTACCAAGTTGGTGTATGACTAAGGCAGATATTTGCCAGTGTAATAAATTATGGTTTATGGCATAACTATTCCATTATTAATATTTTACAAAATTTTTTTTTCCACCATGCTATATTCAGTGCAAATCACTGTTTTAACAAATGTCACAGGCCCCTGCTTCATGGCTATTCCTTCTAGAAGCTCATCATTTTAGTGATTTTAAGTAAAAAATCCGATGTGATCAGACTGACATCTGGCATTTTTATAAAGTTAGCCAAATCTACTGAATATACCTTTAAGGAGATTTATGTACACAACAGTTTGACATGTATGTGCACCATAAGTGGGAATTCCAAGCATATCCTCTTGAAAAAGAGTCTTAATACTATAAAACAGAAATCATCCTAGAAGTCTTTGCTTACTCTCTCACAGAACATTTATTTTGGTTTGGTTTTGTCTTCTAGGTTTGATTGGAGGGGACCATACTTTGTTGTTCAGTGTGACAAACTGTAACAGGAACCCTTTATGTGAGGGTACTCAAAAGACTCATGGAAAATGTGTATGATGGAAAAAAATGGGCATGGATTGCAAAAAATGTGTGCACCAAAATCAGTGTATCTCAATTCCATTTTTTCTGCAAACTTATTGAAGTACCCTTGTATTTTCTTCTGTAGATTCTTTACAGATTAAAAGAAAAGTTTCAGCTTTCCTTGAGACAAGATAAAGAGAAAAAGCAGGAGATCCACCTATCACCTATCGCATTACCACCAGGACAGTCAGAGGCGAAGACACCCCACAGCATGGTCCAGCCTGAGCAGGCCCCAAAGGTGCTGAATGTCATCATAGATCCTCAAGGCCAATGCACTCCTGAGATCAAAGCTGCTGCCTCTGCCTCTGTCTGCCATTCTCCTTTCAAAATGAAGCCCATAGGACTTCAGGAGAGGTTAGAGTTTTTTCTGTATCCTCCTATCTGTTGCCTTTTTGTTATATTTTAAAAGCATATATCAGGCCGGCGCCGCGGCTCACTAGGCTAATCCTCCGCCTTGCGGCGCCGGCACACCGGGTTCTAGTCCCGGTCGGGGCACCGGATTCTGTCTTGGTTGCCCCTCTTCCAGGCCAGCTCTCTGCTGTGGCCAGGGAGTGCAGTGGAGGATGGCCCAAGTGCTTGGGCCCTGCACCCCATGGGAGACCAGGAGAAGCACCTGGCTCCTGGCTTCAGATCAGCGCAGTGCGCCGGCCGCAGCGCAGGGGCCATTGGAGGGTGAACCAACAGCAAAGGAAGACCTTTCTCTCTGTCTCTCTCTCTCACTGTCCACTCTGCCTGTCAAAAAAAAAAAAAAAAAAAAAAAGCATATATCAACTAAAAAGTACAGACCTAGAAATGACTGACATTATTGGGTAGAACCATTCACCACCAAATCGACACCAGAAAGAAGTAGTGGTTTTTTTTATTTCTCTGAAGAGTCCATCTGCATTAGACAAAAAATCTTTTAGGTACATCTTGTTCTGTCAAGCTCGTGTGGACCCAAGCACAGCCCATTTTCAACTATAGAACAGTTTCTATTGCCATTTACTGAGTGCTAATTGAGTGTCACTAACCAAACATGCAGTCATCTTGTTTAATTGTCGTCAAACTCTGGTAAGTAGAGGAACTAGAAATGAACTCAGAGTGTTTCCTGCCAAAGCCCATGTAGTTTGTAATCACATAGATAGTCTATGCTACAAGTAGACTTTTTTTCAAAGTTCTCTCTCTGCTCTGTCCAAACACAGTAGACATTACATGTTCAATATCCATGAACTTTTTCCTGCCTTTATGGCATACTTTTACATGTAATGTACCTTATACCGATATATTTCCATTTTAGGCAAATTCAATTTAAGAAAACTAGAATATATAAAATGCAAAATATGCAGAATACATCATCAAGGGGTTAATTCTTTAATTCCAGAAAAAAGAATTAAGTAAGAATTCTGTTTCTTAAAATAAGAAGCTCGTTTTTATATTTAAAATATGATTTACACTGAACCCAACATTGCACAGCTGAGTAGTGCGGAAGCTAACAAGTTCTCCAGTTACAGTCCTAGATTATTCTCCTCTTATTTTCCTGTGCCTTCATTTTCTCTCACTACTCTTTTTGTTTCCTAAGGTCTTTAGATCATATATTTAAATTTTTATTGTACTTCCCAAAATGTATTGTAATGTCCTATGCAAATAGTTATGGTTTATACACACATATATATACACACACACACACACACACCCTTGAGAAAATATAGTTTGGAACTATACCTAGTACTGCAGAAGACAAAATTGGTCATTTCAAATTCTTTGAAAAATATTGTCAAAGAACAATGAATGATGTGAAAAGAAATAGATTGATTGCAGTGAAGGCACTTAGGGTGAACCTTTGACCCCACTATGGAGGGAAAACAGAGACTGACCAAGTTGTTCTTCCTGCTAATTTCCCCCAAATGCCTGTTGATTTGTTACTGGATCTATGTGGGCCTCTAAGTGACATTCTTTTATTTTAATGTCATTAAACTGCTCTTTGAGATTCAGCCTGGGAAGGTAGACAGTATGAACTTTTCTTCCTGATACCAAGTGGAGATCAGGAGAACTGAGTTCCAGACCCTTCTTGGCCATACCCTAATTGGGTGGCCTCCCATGAGGCAGTCACCTGTCTGGGCCTCACTTTCTTCTTAAATATGAAAGGGTTAAACTTGACCTCGTAGCTTCCTGCAGGTTCTTTCGCTCTTGTTACCCAAATTATCACTATGGACTTATGTCTTTCTTAGAGAGAAACCTTGACACAGAGATGGAAGCATCACTGGTGATTCAAGGGCAAGATAGTAGGAAATCTGTGCCTTATGCAGGCAATAAGGGGCTGTACTGTCTACGCAGGGTTACAGATCAAGATCAAACTGCCCAAAATTCAAACTGTTTTTTTTGCATTCACCATGTACCACCAATTCTAAACAATGTTGGTAAAAAATCATCCAGCATCCTGCCCTTTGTAGACCACCACTGGGCACGTTTCAATTTCAAGGAGAATAAGGTTAAATACCCATGTGTTTATGTAACTAAAGTGAATGTCTGAGAAGGCAGAGGACAGGAATGGTGTCTTACTCATTGTTGCAATCCATGACGGGGAGGCTACCAGACCAAGTGTGTTCAGTGTTAAGTGGATTCCTGTCCTTTTGTCTGCAGACTTCCCTGCATCCCCATCCTCTGCCCTCCATTTTCTTCCCACCGCAGAGCGGAAGAAAGACTGCAGGGTTTCAGGTCACTGTCACCCAATACCAGCCTTCCATCCACCTTCCTCCTCTATTTTCAACCCATGCCTCTTGCTCAGGCCATCCCCTGCAGTGTGGAAACACGTTCTCTATGGTACCTGGTTCTTGTCTTTCCTTCCTTTCTCAAGTAAACTTCGGAAAAGAATAGAGAAAGAACAGAGTAGACGAGGCCCCTTTAGAAAGTTCATGGGACATGCATGCTGTGAAAAAACTAAACATGGATTTTAGGGGTTTTCTTTCAGCACCAACATTAACTCTTCTCTGATTCCCCTTTTCTATGAACTTTTCAAGGGATGCTGTTTGTTGCCACATTGATTATCTTCCATCTTCTCTCCTTGCTGTTTCTTTCACCAACTCTTACCAAAGCGAGTATAGTGGTCTAAGTACCAAAGCTAAAGCATGTTTTACTCCCTTTTCCATCCAGCACTATGTATTACTATGCACTGCTGGGTTAGGAAATTGCTGTGTTCAAGCTATACTCAAGAATCATCTTGGCCGGCACCGCAGCTCACTAGGCTAATCCTCTGCCTGCGGCGCCGGCACACCGGGTTCGGGTTCTGGTTCTGGTTGGGGTGCCGGATTCTGTCCCGGTTGCCCCTCTTCCAGGCCAGCTCTCTGCTGTGGCCCGGGAGTGCAGTGGAGGATGGCCCAGGTCCTTGGGCCCTGCACCGGCATGGGAGACCAGGAGGAAGCACCTTGCTCCTGGCTTCGGATCGGCGCAGCGTGCCAGCCACAACAAGCGGGCCATAGCGGCTACTTGGGAGGTGAACTAATGGAAAAAGGAAGACCTTTCTCTCTGTCTCTCTCTCACTAACTCTGCCTGTCAAAAAAAAAAAAAAAAAAATCCCATTGCTGGACCCCAAATGGAGGCACAGGAATCTGACTAAGCTTAATACACCGTCCCCCGCCCCCTTCTCTGACAAAAACACCTTGCAGTCACTTCTTTTCCTTTTCCTGTCTCAGATCCTCCTGCTGGGCCCATTGCTCAAGGGCTCAGCTGTAAAGGATACTAGGCCTGCCCCCTTCCTCCCCTGAGCTCCAAGACCTCACAGTCTTTGAGAACAGGAAGCCCTTCTCTTACTGATTCACATTCTACCTCATCTAACACCTGCACCCCCAGATAGGTCCTTCTACTGAAAGCCTGACCTTCAGAACTCGAAGCCCAACACAGGACTCAAATTTCTCTGCTATCCACTCTCACATTTCTTCCCAAAGGCAATAAAACACCAAGCAGCTTGGCAACCTGGCTGTTAGGAAAGGTCCAAAGGTGATGGGTTGGGAGGAGACCAGGGGGAGGGAAACGTAAGCAGCATTTCCTCTTGGAAACTGTCCAGGCCCCCTCCAGCTCCTCCTGCTTCTTCCTCCACCCAGGCTTTCTCCAACCAGCACTGGTTAGCTGCTTCTCTTCTGCTGCCTCTGCTTTAGTCCCATAACCCTATGTCATTCATACAGTGTTTATAGCACTTCTCAGGTGTATTTTAATTTTTGGTTCACTAATCTGACTTAGCTTTAGACTGTAGGTTCCTTGAGGGCACGTGGATGATTTAATTGTCTCTTTATCTTTACATATAAAGCATAATTCCTGGAAAGCAAGAGTTCCTGGAAATAAATGTTTTTAATAACTGAATAAGTCAATGAAAGTTACCATGAGTAATTCTCATATCAACTCCCAGTAGTTACAGGGAAGCACTTCGCTTATTCCATCATTCCCTTCTTGTTCAAGTCTCACTTTCATTTCCCTGCTCGGATGGTGCAGTGGGGACAGGCCTTTAGTACAGTGGTTAAGATGCTGCCTGGGACACTTGCATCCCATGTCTCAGTGCCTTGGTTTGAGTTTCAGCTCCATTCCTTACTCCAGCTTCCTGCTGATGTGCCTGCCAGCAGGCAGCAAATGATGGCTCAGGTCCCTGGGTACTCGGCATGGAGAGACCTCCACATGGGAAACCCAGATTGAGCTCCAAGCTCCTGGCTTTAGCCTGGCCCTGCCCTGGCTGTTGTGGGGCATGAACCAGCAGAGAGGCTATTTTTATCTGTCTCTGCCTCTCAAATAAATAAAATAAATTTTAAAAAAATCAAAGATGGTGTAATGAAGTGTTTTATGAGTGATAAAATATGAATGGTGAACAGTGTTTCATACAGCCAGAAAACTTTTCTGACAGTTTTAAGCCTTAAAAATTTATGCTTATGTGTTCTAATGCACCTTAAAAATAGCCTCATATTTGAATCTCCATTGCTTGATCCTGGAGTAGAGTAGTAATCCTCTCTTTATTGCATAAAAGCCTGGCTTCATTAAAATCACTATGAGACCATAAAGGCTGCATTATGAGTCATTTGTTTCAGAAATCTATTGGTCTACTCTATATAAATCTCTCATCGCTGATGGAGGCCATCCATTACTTAGACATTATTATTAATAAAATATAATTTCAAAGTTGAAATATAAGTAAAAATATAGAGGCCAAATGCAAATGTTTAACTGGGTTCAGAAGAAACACCCTGGAAATTACAGATTAAAGAATCTTATAAGGTGAGGAACAAAGCAATTTTCCTTTTGATCTCTCAACTTCCAATTAGTCACCAAATCATATTGATTCACACTCCTCCAACTTTCTCATTATTGATTCTGTCTTTCTATAATCCTCACTGTGG